CTGGGCCCCCTTGGGGGGGGGCCTCTTGGGGCTGAAGGCTGGACTCTACGGTTCCTGGTTCCCCGTCTTGGGTCTCTTCTTGGGGCCGTTTTAGGGAGAAGCTATATTGTGTTTCTTTGTAAGGATGAGAAGACATCGATGCCGCTACAGTCAAGACGCTGAAATACGGAGCACTGTGGTTCAGAAGGAGAAAGGCACGCTATGGGGCCCTCTTCTGTCACGAACACCCTGGCCTTCGGACCTGATCATGATGATGTTAATGACGATGATGCTGATGCTGTTGCTGATGATCATGATGCAGACGATGATTATGATGATGACGATGATGAGGATGACGATGATGATGATGATGATGATGATGATGATGATGCTGATGCTGATGCACATGATGTTAATGACGATGATGACGGTGCAGATAAGGAGGATGATGATGATATGATGATGTTGATGTTGATGATGCTAGTGATGATGATGCAGATGCAGATGCAGATGCAGATGCAGATGTTGTTGTTGATGATGATGGCGCTGGTGATGATTATGCTGATGATGCTGAAGATGATGCTCAGGATGATGATGCTGATGCTGCTTATGATTATGATTATGATGAAGATGATGACGTTGAAGATGATGATGATGATGATGGTGGTGGTGGTGGTGGTGATGGTGATGCTGATGATGCTAATGGTGGTGATGATGAGCACGATGTAGCATATTATGAGCGTGATACAGAAGACGATGATGTTTATAAGGATGATGGCACTGATGATGACGATGATACTGATGCATATGACGATACTGATGATCATGATGACGATGATGATGCTGACGGATGTGATAATGATGATGATGTTGTTGATGATGATGGTGATTAGGATGATGATGTGGGTGACGATGTTTATGATTATGATGACGTTGATGATGATGGCGATGACGATGACACGTATGATGTTGGTGTTGTTGTTGATGGTGTTGATTATATTCATGATGGTGATGATGGTGATGATGGTATTGATCTTGGCGATGATGATGATGATGATGATGATGATGATGATGATGATAATGATGATGATGATGCTGATGTTGATGATGATGATAATGATGGTGATGTTGGTAATGATGACGCTGGTGATGATGACGATGATGACGCTGACGCAAACGATGATCATTATGAGTATGATGGTGATGGCGATGATGATAATGATGGTGGTCATGATGGTGATGATGGGGATAATGCTGATTAGTTTGATGATGATGATGATGATGACGATGCTGATGCTCATGCTGCGGCTGATGGTGATGATGATGCATATGATTATGATGATGATGACTATAGTGATGGTGATGATGATGATGCTGATGATGATGCTGCTGCTGCTGATGATGATGCTGCTGCTGCTGCTGATGATGATGATGATGATGGTGATACGGGTGCGGACATTCGGATACACGAAGTCCCCACAGCGCTCCCTTCTCACATGAAAGGGGCTCCGGCTTCCGGGGCATCTTGGCACGAGGTCGGGGAGCCTGCTCGCGACCGAGGCTCGCCGTGGCAAGAACGGCCCCTTCGCTCCGACGAAGGCGCCTATGCACCACCACTGTGCCAGGCCAGGGCCACCCTGGGCCCTATAGGATGTGTGCAGACCCTCCTGGCCCCGGCCATCCTGGGCCCTATAGGATGTAAACCACCCTGGGCCCTATCCTGGGCCTCATCCTGGACCCTATCCTGGGCCTGTGGACCCCCCTGGCCATCCTGGGCCCTATCCTGGGCCTATCCAGGATGGGCCCAGGATAGGGCCATCGTGGGCCCTATAGGATGTGTGCAGACCCTCCTGGCCCCGGGGCGTGAACACTGTGCCAGGGCCGGGGTGGCCCCGGCTTGGACGGCCCTGGCTTGGCAAGGCGGTGGTGTCTTAGATGCCTTCTGTGCGATTCGTTCCTGCCTCGGCGCTCCTCCCGGTGGTGCAGTGCCGTTTTTAAGAAATGCTCCGCGCGCGGATCGTGTATTAAAAATGCAGGGATGTTGCAGTAAAAACAAGGATGAGCTCATGTATGAATTTATTCATACATTACTCATGCATCAAAAATCCTTTTTTTTGTTTTTTTTTCTGCCCTGCAGCACCATGGCTGTGCCACTGCCCCGCCCCCTCGTCGCCACCGCTCCTTGGTGAAGAGGCCTATCCGCGTCCGCGGCCCCGCGGGCCGGGCCCCCCCGGGGGGGCGCGGCCCCGCGGGGACGGGGCGCCTCTTTTACGCAGAAAGCATCTATACACCACCACCGGCCAGGCCAGGGCCATCCTGGGCCCTGGGATGGTGTATACGCCCTCCTGGCCGAGCCAGGAGGGTCTATACACCATCCTGCGGCCCAGGATGGCCCTGGCCTGGCACGGTGGTGGTGTGTAGATGCCTTCGTCGGATCTTTGTCGCGGAGGCCCCGCGCGGAACGCAGCCGTGCGGCCGCGTATCCGCGGGATCGCGCCCCAGAGTCCCGACTCTGCTCAGACCGCGATGGGAACGGAAAGAATGGACGCGACGCCCAACAGCAGTTCCTGCTCATTCTGAACAGGGCTCGCTGTCCGCGCCGCCGCGGCCTGTGTCCATCTGAGACAGAGGGCCGACTGCCCAACAGCGGCCGCTGTTGGTTCGGGACAACATTTGCTGTTGGGCATTCTGCCCAGTGTTTCCGTGCCCATTTCGGGCGTCCAAACAGACCGCGAGGGCGCGGATACGGACATGCTGGTCGCCAGTGAGCCGCCGGACTCGCCTCCAGAGGTCAGAACATCAGCAGGGGGAGCAACAAAAAGACACGGACACAAGGAATCGTCGGCTCCCCACAGAAGGATGGACGGGTGTGGCAAGTGGCGGGGGGGAGAGACGAAATCCCACGAACATATGGGAAAAGATTTTCGGAATCCTGGGAGAATATGAGAATAGGGGAGAATGCGAGAATATGAGAACACGGGAGAATCTCAGGATATGGGAGAAGATGTGAGAGCAGGAGCGAAGACTGTGAGCATAGGGGAGAACATGAGAATCGATATGGAATCTGGGTGTGTCCCTGGGCCCCCCCTCTGGGCACCCTCCCCGAGACGCCCCGCGGAGCGCCCTCGGCCTCCCCCTCGCCGTGCCCAGGCGCGGCGCGCGCCGAGGCGCCGGCCCCCGTGGCGCCCCGCGGCCGCACGGGCGAGGTCGTGCGCGTCGTGGACGGCATCGAGCACCGGAGGCCGTGGCACCGCTCGGGCGTGCGCTCGTCGGGTCGGGCGAAAGGGGGGGGGGTGGGAAAGGGGGGGTTACGAAATCTGCTGCATGCAGCCGGTTTCGGGCCCGCCGCCGGGCCCATTCCTCGATACATGGGCGCCTCCCGGCGCCAGGAGGCGCCGATAAAATCAGCTAGGTGAGCTGATTCTCAAACTCCCCCTTTGCTATCCCCCCCTTTCGCCCGGCCCGAGTTCGGATGCACCTCCTGGGAGGTGAAATTCGGATTTGGCGCTGGTCCGAAGTCCGGCTTACTCCGGCTTCATCCCGCTTTCATCCCGCCGAATCCGGCTTCTTCCCGCCTAATCCGGCTTAATACCGCTTCATCCGAGGCCCTTTCTGGCGTAACAGCCCCGCAAGGGGGCTGAATCCTCCTTAATCTTTCCGACGAAGACCTCCCAGCAGTTGCTTCCTAACGTGTGCATGTCTCCTTCGGCGAGGACCATCCAGGAGCATCCTTGGTCGTTTGGCGAAAAAGCCACGCACGAAACCATAACAAAAAGCACGGGGAATGGCCGTCCGAGCGGTGCCCGGAGGCTCGGCGACAGCGGGATCTCGGAGGAGGGAAAGCGGCTGCGAGCGGGGGGGGGGGAAATGGGCCGCACGACGAGGTTGGAGGTCTCGGGCCCGAGGTTCGAGGTTTGCGGGCGTTTTCGTCGGTTCTCGGCGGTTCTCCAGTCTCGGGATGCTTGCCAGCAGCTGCGCCTCGCCGCGTGCGTTCCGGGGATGCCCGGATCGTCCCGAACGCCCGCCGGAGACCCGAGTTGAACCCCCCCCTCCAAATTCGGCGGCGAGCGAGGGGGGAAAGGAGAAGGGTAAGGCCTTCTCAGAAGGCGGCGGGACTTCTGAGAAGCCCTCGCGCCTTCTGAGAGCAGTGCTCTGTGTCTTCGGGGAAGGCTTCGGAAACTTCGCAGAAGGCCGGGGAACCTCCGAGCCTTCTGAGAAGGCCTGCCCCTTCCCACTTCCCTCTCAGGCTCGCCGCCGAGAAGAGGTACCGATACCGCTACCCTCGCCTCGTTTGCGCCTCTGTGGCCCTCACGGGTGGCCCTCGTCGCGACGGCCAGATTGTCCTCGAGATGCTGGTCCGAGTGCCCCCTGTGGGAGAGGTTCAGGGAGCAGCGGCAAAGGTAGATATGTTTGCTTCCCCAGGATCGTGGTGTCCGGGGTCGGGCTGGGGACGCAGCGGTGGGGCAGCGCGGACTTCAACGCCCCCGACGAGGACCACTCAGGAGGGGAAAACACACACAGACACAATGAATTGCCGATTTCCCAGAAACTATGGGGAAATATGGGAAGTGGGGGGGAAGACAAAAACCCAGAAAATATGGTATGGGAAAATTTGGGGAATTATTTTACTTGTGTGCATTTATTTGTGTGTCCCAGGGCCCCTTCAACCACGAGCGGCGAACACGTCCGTAGCGGCGCCTTCGCGGTCCGGTGTTTCCGGGGCGCGCTCCCGCGGATGCGCGGTCGCACGGCTGCGTCCCGCGCAGGGCCTCCGCGAAGAGAAACGCCCCCGCCTCCGCGGGGCTGCGGCCCCAGGGGCCCAGCCCGCGAGGCCGCGGATACGGATGTGCTTCTCGCCATCGGCTTGGCATCGCTCGGACGTGTGCATTTTTTCCTTCGGCGAGAGCCATCGAGGAGCATCCTTGATCATTTGGCGAAAGAACCACGCACGAAACCCAAAAAAACACAACAAATGGACGTCCGAGCGATGGCGAGTCGGCGAGGACCTCTGCTGCAGGTTCATGGACCGGGCCATTCTCAACGGCGGCGTGAACCTCGTGGACACCGCAGAGCAGTACCCGATCCCCTCAGGGCCAGGGAGACCAGCGGGCCTGACGGAGGAAATCATCGGCAGGTGGGTCGCGAAGGACAGGTCGCGCCGGGACAAGATCGTCATCGCAACCAAGATCACGGGCGCCCTCAACGTCAACGCGACGAATCTGCGGAAGGATTGCGAGGGCTCGTTGAGGCGCCTGCAGACCGCCCACATCTCAAAGAACAGACACATGCAGAAACATAATTCCTCGGAGTTTCGAGCGGATTTCTTGTATCGGCGTTGGGCCTCCTGTCGGCGCCTCCTGTCGGCGCCTCTGGAACCGTCCCTGGCGCGCTTCGCGCGCCAGTGAGGGGGGGCCAGCGCGGAGTTCAGAGCGCTGATGTTTAGGACCACTGAAAGCCGACACCAACACCACCAGGGACCACCAGCGGGAGGTTCCAGGGAGGGGTCCCCCTGGTGGTTTGGTCCCCCATCTCATTCGAGACACCCCCTATCCCCAGCTCGGAAACGCATCGTGGACCTCCTCGCTGGAGGTGGCCCCCCGGTGGTGTTGGTGCCGCTTCTCCCTCCCCCCGTCTGTCTGTGGAGCTTGCTCTCCCTCTAGAGGCGCCTGCAGACCGACCACATCGACGTCTACCTGACGCACTGGTCCTTCCGGGCGTCGCAGCCGCAGCAGAACTGGGGGCAGTCGCTGCGGTACCGCCAGGAGCCGGAGCCGTCCGCCAAGCGCAGGGGCCAGGCTTCCTTCGAGGAGGCGCCGGGGGGCCACGTCCGTTCGGGTGCGACTCCCGGGAGGTCAACTTCTGATTGCGCCCTGGCCCGAAGTCCGGCCTAATCTGGCTCCATCCCGCTTCATCCAGCCCGATCCCGCCCAAGCCGGCCTGATCCCAATCCGAAGCCCGCTCTGGCGTAACAGCCCCGCAGTGGGGCCTAATCTGCCTTAGCCTTACCAGCCTGGAACATATCCCTATCCCTATCCTATGCTGAGCATCTTCTCATCACGATGCCAATCTTAGGGATTCCCTTATTTTTGAGGGCGCATCCCTAAGATTGTCATCGCCTTTTGGCGTGTCAATCTTAGGGATAGGGATAAGTTCGAGGCTGGTAATAGTCTTTCCGACGAAGACCTCCCAGCAGTTGCTTCCCAACGTCAGAGGGGGATGGGCGCAGGGGGGAGGCCGCGTCGACCACCCGATCGCCCATCGGTCGCCGACAGGGGCCCGGCAGCCCACGCCGCCTTGCAGGGTCGTGCGGGCCCGCCATCGGGGGCTGATCTGCCGCCGCTTTCTCGGCGCGATGCCGCGCCGAGCCTTCTGATGTTCCAGCCTATACTTTAGCCTTGACCCCGAGAAAGAATGTCGAGCCCCTCGAAAAAGGACCGCAACTCAAGGGTTCTCACGCGTCGGGCCCTGGGAGACACTCGTCGGACGCTGTTTCGACACTGTTTCGACACCTTTCTGGGCGCTCGACATGATTTCTGGGATGTGGTCCTTCAGCACGACGGGAGCAACATAAGCCGAGTCCAGCTCCACGGTGTCCCCCCCCCCCCTTCCCTGAGCTGGTCCCCCCCCCAAGAGATCCTCCGACCGGATTTTTCCAACCCGCGGTCACATATATGGGCGGGCTCCCGACCCCTCCCCGGGGGCAGCCCTGCGTCCTGGGATCTTTTTGGTTGGGGTTCCCAACAACGGGGCCCGCGAAGGCCGAAACGGAGGGAGAACGCTGGGGCCGAAACAGATCTGATCTTCGGAGGTCCGGGCCTAACGTTCCCCTTTCGAGGTGGTGGACACCATGAGTGCTCTGGTGCGCGAGGGCAAGATCCGGGGCTGGGGCTGCTGCAACGAGAGTCCGTACGGCGCGACGCGGCTGGTGGCCACTGCAAAGGCCACGGGCGGCGTGCCGCCTTGCTGCTTCCAGAACGACTACTCCGTCCTGAACAGGCTCAGGGGGAGGAGGAGGAGGAGGAGGAGGAGGAGGAGGAGGAGGAGGAGGAGGAGCAGGAGGTGGAGGAGGAGGAGGAGGCGGAGGAGGAGGCGGAGGAGGAGGAGGAGGAGGGGGAGCAGAAGGAGGAGGAGGAGGCGTCGATGCCCAATCGCCCAGCGATGGCCAGAGGGGCCCCATAGCCCCAACCTGCACAGGAAGGTGCGGGTGTGCTATCGGGTGCACGTCGCCGATCCCTCGGCGATGCATCGCCGATTCCTGTGCGATGTCCCCCCCGCCCCTGTGCCGGCCCCCCCCCCCAACGTTGCCCCTCGTAGGCGCTGCGAGGAGAACGGCCTGTTCGAGATGATGTCGCCGTTCAACGAGAACGTCGGCTTCTTGGCGTACAACGTCCTCGCCGGCGGGGTGCTGACGGGCAAGTACCTGGACGAGCCGGCCTCCCCCGACGACCCCAACCCCCTCAGGCCACGGGCGCGGAACTCGGAGGAGCAAGAAGTCATGAGACTGACATGCCCCCATGCACATTCTTCATGTCTAGTTCTTCGGAAGGTCTTTGACCTTTGGGGGTCCTGAGATCCTTTCATTTCTAATTGTTCTATCCTGGGCCTCTTCCTGGCCACCAGGGGGCCAGGAACAATCAGAAACGAGCACAATTAGAGATGAGCACGATTAGCAATGAGCGACGTGTATCTGGCAGGGGGCAAGGCGCTCCCCAGGGGCGAGATGCTTACTGTGACTCGCCCGCGGCTGCGGCTGCCACGGAGCTGCCAGATGAGCTGATCCGCGCGGCGTCGAGAGTCGTGGCTCCAGCGATCTTGGGCCGCTCGAGACGGTGTTTGTTATCATCCCTGTTGGGCTCGCAGCGCTGGAGCGCATCTGGGGCCGAGAGCCTCACGACTTACGCTGCATCTTCGGGAGACCTCGCCCGTCCCCCAAACTGGTGTCCTGTCTCTTGTGCCCAATCTGGTGTCTCGATGCGGATCCGACGCGGACGTGACGTGGATCCGACGCGGATTCGACACGGATCCGACGAGTCCGACGCGGATTCGACACCGAGTCGACGCGCATCGGGCCGAGAGGGGGCAGGCAAGGTCCTTGAGGATGCAGCACACCACGCCATCGTCCTCGCCCTGCGGATGCCTGCGCTCTCGGCGCGGCCGCGCGGCCGCGCGGAGCGAGGAGGAGGAGGAGGAGGAGGAGGAGGAGGAGGAGGAATGAGGAGGAGGAGGAGCAGGAGGAGGAGGAGCAGGAGGAGGAAAAGAAGGAGGAGGAGGGGGGGGGGGCGCGCTCCCACCTCTTCGAGGCTCGTTCCGGGGACCTTCCTGGGGCCCACCTCCCACGCCTCGGCGCACCAGCGCACGGTCCACCTCTCCGGTGCTCGGTTTTGGGGGACCTCCCTGGGGCTCACGGAACAGATCTGTTCGGCTCAAGTTCGACCCAGCTTCGACTCAAGATCGACTCAGGTTCGACTCAGGTTCGACGGACGCTCGACGCACGAGTGGAGCGAGTGGCTCCAGGAAGGTCTCCTAAAATGAACATCTAACACCTCTGATGTCAGAAGCTTCATCTTCGTCCGAGCCATCCCCACCCCCACGGGGGCAGGGTAAGTTGGCTCTCGCAGCGTACCCCGTCTGTTGAAGAAGAAGAAGAAACGGCATAAACATAAACTTTTGGCGCTCCTCTCGGATTTCTTTGATCCGCGCTGCGACTCCTCTAGCGGCGCCTCTGGCGCCGCCCCTGGCGCGCTCCGCGCGCCAGGGAGTGGGTCCAAGGCAGATCCAAGAAATCCGCGCGAAACCCGAAGGAGACGGTACCCATCCGCACCTCAGGGGGGGCAGATTGCCTTGCTGGGCCGAGGCGTGCTCGATGGGGGTGGGGATTGTTTTCCTCGTCCAGAAGAAGGTCCGCCGCCACGACAAGAATTCGGAATTCGCGGCGGCCAGCGCTTTTTGCACCACGTGGGGCGAGAAGAGAGCACGGCGTCGATTGCGCCGACATTGGCGCGCAATCTGCCTGCGTGAGGTCGCACGTCTGCGCCTTCGTCTCCAACGTGGCGTGCCGCGCGGGCGGCTCGCACAAGCCGCTGCGAGAGGTCGCCATCTCCTCTTGGCCGTTTGGGGGGTCCTTTTTTGGGTTGCGTCGGGCCTGTCCCTCTACAGGGGGGAATATCCAAAAATTGTCAAAATACTATGGGACATATTTTGTTTGACCATCTTTGTTTTTGTTTTGTTGCTTTTGGGGGTACGTTTCGTTTCCGACCTAATTTTAAGGCCTCCCAAAAGACCTTTTGGAGGGTTTTCTGATTTGGGCTTCCTCGTCGCTCACGTTGTGCCTTTTGGGGGGGACCCCAGTGCGGCCCCGGGGGGGGCTGTCGGGCAGCCACCTGAGGGACGAAGCGCCGGCCCCGCGGGAGGAGGAGGTCGAGCCGCCTGGGGTGGCCCGCGCCTCGAAGAGGTCGACGAGCGGCCAGGCTTACGTCGGGCCTGTCCCTCGACATGAGGAGTTTTCAAGAAGAGTCAGAAAATAGTCTGGGGACGATGTTTCGATCCTGCTTCGACTAGTCTCTAGTATTGTTCGACTATTGTTATTTTTTTCCAAACACCGACCTAAGTCCAGGTGGAACCGAACTCCCCCCTCCCTGGAATCGGAGGCAATTCGGCCTGGCTCCTGATCCTGATCGGGCCCGTCGCCATGCCAATGCTCTGTTTTGGCGACCGTTCATGTCGGTCTTCCACGGGCCCCTGTGTTAGCCAACGGGGGGGCCGCACGATGGGGTGGGGTGCGACTATGAGGATCGAGCGTCGAGGATCGATCCTTCTCCTCCTCGAGCAGGACCGATCCTCGACTCCCACAACCCAGGTATCCGATGCATTGACCTTTTCAGTGCGGGGTCCCTGGAAGGCCCGACCCGTTCTCTGGGGCCGGCTCTTCCTTCCGAGTCGTGCTCGGACGGCCCCTGGGGCCCGGCGAGGACGCCCCCCCCCCTTGCAGAGGCCCACAGCGGCCAATGTTTTGTTGGCCGCTTCGGGCCTCCGCATGGGAGGAGGAGGAGGAGGAGGAGGAGGAGGAGGAGGAGGAGGAGGAGGAGGAGGAGCAGGAGCAGGAGCAGGAGCAGGAGCAGGAGCAGGAGGAGCAGGAGAAGCAGGAGGAGCAGGAGGAGCAGGAGGAGCAGGAGGAGGAGAAGCACGCCCGTGATGAGCCCTGCTGCCCCTGCCAGGGCGGCGGCGCGGGCGGCCGCCCCACGGGGGCGCATGGACGACCTCAGCTGGGGCCGCACGCTGTACCGCTACCGCAGCGCGGCGGCGCAGGAGGCGACGAGGCGCTACGCGGCGCTGGCGCAGGAGCGGGCCCCCCAAAGGGGAAGGGGGAGGAGGAGGAGGAGGAGGAGGAGGAGGAGGAGGAGGAGGAGGAGGAGGAGGAGGGGAGGAGGAGGAGGAGGAGGAGGAGGAGGAGGAGGAGGAGGAGGAGGAGGGAGAGCGGCGCGGCGTTGGGAGGCCTGGGCCGCCCGCCCCGGGGCCTCTCGCGGGGGGAGGGGAGGCCGCGCCGCGGGTGGGCCCGCGTCGCGTCGGCGCGGCGCGCGGGCCGCCCCCCCCGCAGTGTGCGGCGGCCACACCGCTCGGGGAAGGATCCTCCGGCAGGATGCCGTTCCATCCGCGCCTCCTCGGCGTCCTTGCTTTTTCTCTTCCCGCTCCGCCGTGGCTGATGCTCAGCATAGTGGAGGCCCCCCCTTCCCCTCGGTGGGGATGCTGGGAATTTTCTTCACCATCGTCATCATCACCACCATCATCATCATCATCATCATCATCATCATCATCAGCAGCAGCAGCATCATCATCACCATCACCATCATCATCATCATCATCACTATCATCATCAGCATCATAATGGTCAGCATCTTCGCCATCATTATCAGTATCATTACCATTGTCATCATCTTCATCATCTTCTTCATCATCATCATCAGCGCATTTTTTCTGAGGGGGGGAAGGGAAATCGTCGCGTTGCGGAGAAACTGCAACATCGCGAAAATCGCGACCAGATCCCCATAGGCCTTTATCTTTCTGCGGCAGTTTTTTCCAATCCATCTGTGATGACTGGCGTTTACAGTGGAGGCCCATGCCAAGAAACACCCTGCTTGCCTCCAGGGTGCCCTGGGTTGAGATGGTTTCGCCTGCCGTTACCACACCTAAAATCAGTGGTCGTCCTGAGGTCTCAGGGTTGGATTCCTTGTGGAAGGTTTCTTGTGGTCGGGCCCCTATTGTAGAATAAAGTGCAATTGCAGGATCTCGGAGTGCAGTCGTGGCGCTGAGATGACGTCGAGCTCGGGTTCAGAAGGGGCTCGGTGGTTCCCATCGCAATTCTGCTAGTGAGCCTCAGCTTCCCTGGGATGGGAGGGGCCACCTTCAAAACGAGAGGCAGCGACGAGGGAACGCCTCCCAAATGGGGCTCGGCCATCCCCTAGACATGTCAGACTCGATTTGTGAAACCTGGGCGTTTTTCCTTTCCTTGCCTTGCATTCCTTCTGGCAGTGCCATGACTGTACCCTTGCACAAGTTGCCCATCCGGCATGAGCCCTAGACGGTATAACGGCGATGCAGGTTTCGGTATTGTGGGGATACATGGCTCGCGCTTTCCTACAATTCGCTGTTCCTCAGCGGCGGGCGAGGGGGGGAAATGAGAAGGAGAAGGCCTCCTCAGTCAGAAGGCGGCGGGACTTCTCAGAAGCCCTCGCGCCTTCTGAGAAGTTGGTTATGTTTTCAGGAAAGGCTTAGAAATCTTCTCAGAAGGTCGGGGACTTCCGAGCCTTCTGAGAAGGCCCGTTAGCATTATTCTAGGTCGGAAAAACCACACCGGCCCCGACAATTGGCGTTTCCTAAACTGCCCTCGGCGTTTACTAAACAGCCCTGCCTTGTTCGATTCCTTCCATGGGTGCGTTTACTGAACGGCTTCGCTGGTCGGGGTGCTTATTATGGGGGGGGGGATTCTCTGCTCTCCAAATCCTACTGGCAGTGCCATCACTGTAATCGTGTGTTCCCGATGATAACCCTTGTGGGATCATACAGTTCGGGGGTCTGTGGGGGATAATCAACAAGTTTCCCAGGGAAGGTGATGTTAGTTAAGTTATGATGATATGATGATGATGATGATGATGATGATGATGATGATGATGATGATGATGATGATGATGATGATGATGATGATGATGATGGTGGTGATGATGATGATGATGATGATGATGATGATACTGATGATACTGATGATGATGATGATGATGATGATGATGATGATGATGATGATGATGATGATGATGATGATGATGATGATGATGATGATGATGATGATGATGATGATGATGATGATGATGATGATGATGATGATGATGATGATGATGATGATGATGATGATGATGATGATGATGATGATGATGATGATGATGATGATGATGATGATGAGGGGGAGGATCCAATCTGTCCCCATGGCCCTGCCTCACGCTCGTGGCTGCGGAAGCTGAAGTGGTGAGACCACCATTACCATGCTCAGCGTTTTTGATGCTGTCGCTAGTCAACATGAGATGATACCAACTTCGATTCGCAACTTCCCCCGAGGATTATCAAGTTCGGCCTCCGCGCCTTCTCCACACATCCGATTGACACGGGATGCAAGATAGAGGGGGTGAAGGGGGGGGATGATTTGTTATGGGGGGCATGGGGTTGCCCTTGCACCAGCTGCCCATCCCGCAGGAGGCGGGCCTGTCCCTCACCGAGCTCGCCCTCCGCTGGGCCCGGCAGCGCCCCGGCGTCACCTCGGCGCTGCTGGGGCAGTCCTCGCTCGCGCAGCTGGAGCAGGGCCTCGCCGTCTACCGGGCCGGGGGCACGCTGCCGGACCGGCTCATGTGGAAGAGTGGAACCCAGGCTCAAGTCAGGGGCAACGATAGGGGGGGATTTGCATAGGGGGGGATGCATCGACATGCAATCGCCCATTGATCGCCGATAGGGGCCCGATAGCCCCATCCTGCCCAGGAAGGTGCGGATTCACTATCAGTGGCCTATCGCCGATCAATCGGCGATGTATCGCCGATTCCAGGTCGATGCATCCCCCCCTATGCCAGTCCCCCCCCATCGTTGCCCCTCATCAAGCGGTGGCGAAGCGTCCCGGCTTGCCTATGGGCCCACCAGAGAGTGTTCGAGGAAGCTCTCGTGGTCTGCACGGCGTGTCTTTAGAACGTGCCTTGGTGAGACCGCCGTGGTTCAGCACAGTTGTCGCGTTGACGTTCTGAGAGAAGGGCTGTTGTTCTTCGAATTTTTTTTTCGGGTTCTGAGGGCACGTCGTGGGAGGCCTGCAGGAGTGCTGGGGCGGTCGGTCCCTGCCCAAACGGGAGGGTGGCGGCCGTGTCCGGCCTCCGGGGGCGCTCGCGGGGCCCCCTGGGCCGTGACGAGAGTGGCCCAGGACGGAGAGCCGGCCCCGGCGAAGGGGTCGGGACCTCCGGAGGCCCCGCATCCAGAAAGAACAAGCCAAGGCGTCGACTCTCCGGGTTCGGCGCTCCGCGCGGGTTTCCTGGGACGGCGCTGGGCCCCCCCCCCCCTTGAGAGGAGGAGCAGGGTCCGCCAGCACCGCGGACCCATCGGGGGGTCGGGGGCTCCCCACTGGGCGGGGGCACGCCCGAGCGTCGTCCTGTACCGGGTGATGCTCGGGCAGGCCGCCGCCCAGGTTCTGGCCGACATCCCCCCGATGGGTTCTGAGTGGCGGTGGCCCCCGCTTCTCCTCTGAACCCTGGCGGCGCGGCCGCGCCATCCATGGGCCAGGGATGGGGGGCAGGAGGAGGAGGAGGAGGAGGAGGAGGAGGAAAAGGAGGAGGAGGAGGAGCAGGGTGAGGAGGAGGACGAGGAGGAGGACGAGGAGTCGGAGGAGGAGGAGGCGGAGGCTTAGGAGGAGGAGGAGGAGGAGGAGGAGGAGGCGGAGGAGGAGGAGGCGGAGGCGGAGGAGGAGGAGGAGGAGGAGGAGGAGTAGGAAAAACCATCCATGACCCCCGCAGATTCGCCCAGGGGAGGGGGGGGGGCAGCGCCGATCCGAGAACTCCGCGCGGAGCTCCGAGAGTTGCCGCTCATGTCGGGTTTCCTTCTTCCGCTCGTGTGGGAGATCGACCGCGTGCACATGCGGAACCGGCTCCCCAGCCTGGCCGGCGGATCGCCCGGGACTCTGGCCCCGTGGGGGGAGAGCCGCAGGCGCAGTCCGGGACCCCGCGGTGCGGGGCCGTGTGTTCGAGCATGGGGGGGAAGCCCCTTCTCGAGAGCTCAGGTCATATGCGCGGGCGCCGATCGTATCACGCATCGTTGTTTTGCGGGCCGCGGTCTGGGCCAGAGCGGTTGCCCTTGTCCAAGGGGGCAGCGCGAGGGCGCGAGGGCGCGTCGCGGGGCGCGATGAGCGAAGTGATGGGGAGAGTGGGGGGTAAAGAGTGTACTCCTCCTCCTCCTCCTCCTCCTCCTCCTCCTCCTCCTCCTCTCCTCTCCACCTCCACCTCCCCTCCTCCTCCTCCTCTTCCTTCGTCCTCCTCTTCCTCGTCCTCCTCCTCCTCCTCCTCCTCCTCCTCCTCCTCCTATTCCTCTTCCTCCTCGTCTTCCTCGTCCTCCTCCTCCTTCTTTTCCTCCTACTCCTGTTCCTCCTTATCCTCCTCCTCCTCCTCCTCCTCCTCCTCCTCCTCGTCCTCCTCGTCCTCCTCCCCGTCCTCGACGCGGCGCAAGGAGCGAAGTCAGGTGAGCTGGGTTCTTGGGTTCTGAGACCTGCTGGCCCAAGGGGAGGGTCAGTTGCAGGGAAGGGAGGCGCCCTGCAGCGGTCAACTCACCCAGCTTGGCATCGCTCGGGCGTGTGCATTTGCTCCCTGCGAGAGGGCCATTCAGGAGCATCTTGGATCAGGTTCTGGTGGATTTTCGGGGCAAAGAAACACGCACATCTCAGGAGGGGAGAAAAACACACACAGACACAATTAATCGTCGATTCCACTAACAATATGGGAAACTATGGGAAGTGGGGGGGGAAGACGGAAACCAAGAAAATATGGGGAAAATATGGGAAATCCTGCTATTTGTGTGTCTTCATTTGTGTGTCCCAGGGCCCCTTCAGCAAAGACATGCGCACATCAGCGACCATTGCACGGGGCATGGACGTCCGAGCGATGGCATGTCGGGAGGGCGGGCGGGGCGCCTGCGGAGTCCCCATTGGGCCATACACCCTCGGGGAACGGGGAAGCGCCCACCACCTCCTCCCTCCATCCTCCTTCCCTCCTCCTCTCCTCCCTCCCTCCTCCTCCTGCCTCTCCTCCTCCTCCTCTCCTCCTCCTCCTCCTCCTCCTCCTCCTCCTCCTCCTCCTCCTCCTCCTCCTCCTCCTCCTCCTCCTCCTCCTCCCCCCCACGAGGCCTCCCCGAGCTGCGGATGATGGATGTCTCGAGCGAGGGGGGGGGCACGCCACCGGGGGTAAGTCGGGCATGTCACTGTACAGGCGGATTTTGGAGGAAAAATGAGACATGAGAGATAGTCAAACATATTCCCAAATAGTGATAAGCAAATATTTGGGAAGTCGTCCCCAGACTATCTTTGACTATTTAGAAATATTCCCCCTGTAGCGGGACATGCCCGACCTAACACCAGGGGGCCCCCCGCTGGCTCCTCCCGCTGGTGGTCCCTGGTGGTGGTGGTGTCGCTTCTCTGTGATCCCATACCCTTGGACTTCTCCGTCGGCCAGCCGTCTTTTCCTCGGACCGCGTGGGGGCCGACTGGTACGGGCGCGGAGAGATCGGAGAGGCCATCCCTTGAGTCGACCCGCGCCGTACCGCGCTGGAGAAAGAGCCGCACGGTCTGTGCACGGGGAGTGCGTTGTTGCGGTCCTCGTCCTCAACAGTGTCAGGCATCTCGAGCAGCAACGAGACGAAGGTTTTCATAGTTTTCGGCCATTTGGGGCCCTTAGTGGGCCTCAGGATTGTCAAGAAGCGACTCGGCATGAAAAACGTGTCTCGGAGAAGTGGTCGAAGGGCCGGGGACCCGTGTCTCAACAAATCGTAACGCTGGATGTCTGGGTTGTTTCTGCTGTTGCCGCCGTTTCCCCCATGTGCACCCCTTTTCCATTCATGTCCTCGTTCCTCAGCCATCTTGGCTCGCAACTTGCTTGCAGATTGTTGGTGCCTGGCCCCCTGACTGAGGGAGGCTCCTAGATCACATTCAGCGTGCCTTAGGTTCTGTCTTCACACGGCTGCTGGCGAACCCCAGTATCTTTCGGACTCCACATTGTGCACATTCGGAGCTCCACATTTCGTGCGGAGAGACACTCCCGAATTCTGATGCTCATGCATTTCTTTTGCATTGCTCATGGGCGTTGCTGAGTTTGCCCAGCTTGGGGCAGACTCAAGGGCGTGCCTTCAGGGGCGTGCCCGCTTTCAGCGGCAGACGCCTCTGGCAGGCTCGCTGCTCTCGCGCCTGCGCGCGCGATCCTGGGCGGGCTGCCCGGCATCTTCCGAGGCCGGAGTTGCGGTGCTCCTGGGGTGTAGAACAGGTTGGTACCGCACAGAGGAAGAAGCCCATGCCAAGAAGCACTCTGCGTTCCTCTTGCCTCCAGGGCGCCCTGGGTTTCGATGGTTCTGCTATGGAAAGCGTGACGCTCCCACACCCAAAATCATTGGACGTCCTGGGGTCTCAGTGTTGGGCTTCTTGTGGAAGGCTATTACTTGTGGAGTAGCCTCCACTGTAATCTACAAACGATGTTCCGCTGTCCGCGGAAGGCAGGGGAGCTTCTCGCCCCCGAGCCGCGTTTCAGGCTTCCTCTGGTGCTGGTTCTGCATCGGGAGAAAAAAAGAAGCAGGAGCTGCGGTGCGCCCGGGGGTGCCGAGTGTCTTGGGCTCAAGTCTCGCCGCCACAACGCCCAATTCGCTCCGCAGCAGCCCTGCCGTAGCAGCGACCGCAGCTTGGATCCAAGGCGCCGCCAATCAAAAAGGTCTGTGGTTCAAGCGGTCGGTCATGGAAACGCTCGCATGTCTGGCCTTCGGCCCTTTCCGCCATCTTGCCAGGGTCGTGGCCCTGAGGAGGAGGAGGAAGAGGAGGAGGAGGAGGAGGAGGAGGAGGAGGAGGAGGAGGAGGGGGAGGAGGAGGGGGAGGAGAGGGAGGAGGAGGAGGAGGAGGAGGAGGAGGAGGAGGAGGAGGAGAGGGAGGAGGGGGAGGAGGCGGGGGAGGAGAGGAGGAGGAGGAGGAGGAGGAGGAGGGGGAGGAGGGGAGGAGGGGAGGAGGAGGGGGAGGAGGAGGAGGGGGAGGGGAGGAGGGGGAGGAGGAGGAGGAGGGTTTGTGAGGAGGGAGGAGGAGAGGAGGAGGAGGAGGAGGAGTCAGAAGGCATGTCTCTTAGGGGGGCTTCCTGGGGGCCTCTTGAGGCCCCGGGCCGGGGCCTCCTGGGCGCCTCCAGGAGGCCCGCTGGCGGTCTGGGGCCGCCACGGAGGGACGGGCTCCCAGGGCACGCTCGAGTTCTCGCCCGCCTGGGCCGCCCTGCGCGCCCTCCTCGGCTTGTCCTTCGTCGGGCGAAGAGAACTGTCCTCCTCGTCCTCCTCCTCCTCCTCCTCCTCCTCCTCCTCGCGTGCACCTGTTCTGGCCAGGCCCATCCTTGGCCCCAGGGTCGGTGCATGTGCCCTCGTGGCCAAGGCAGGAGGGCGTATGCACCGGCCTTGGGCTCAGGACGGACCTGACCCAAATCGGTGCATGTGCATGGTTATTTTTTCCTTTACTTAGGGGAACAAAACGTGGCATAAACACAAAAACTCGGAGGTCCGCGCGGATTTCTCGGATCGGCGCTGGGGCGTCCCAGGCGGCGCCTCCGGCGCCGCCCCTGGCGCGCTCCGCGCGCCAGGGAGGGGGGTCCAGCGCCGATCCGAGAAATCTGCGCGGACCTCAGAGTTGTTTATGTTTATGCCACTTTTTGTTCCCTTAGTCTTGGGGGCCTCGGGTGCCCTCTTGAGCGAGTCTTGGGGGGCCTCTTGAGCCGTCGTGGGCGCCCGCAGGACGAACAGGGCAGACACGCGAACATCATTGATAAAGGCAAGGCTCCCTGGTGATCGTGGCATCTTTTGCCTGCCCCGAGGGCCTCCACGACGGCCCCAGAGGCCACCGCCAAGAGGATTTCAGGTCGACCCCGTGAAACCATCCTGGGGCAAGTTGCAAGTGACGATAGCCTTTTTGGCAATCCACGAGCGAAGCCCCGGGAACTCCGAACAGGTGCCCAGGAATTCACACACATCGGGGGCCAGGACACTCCACTCAGAGCTCACCGCTTGCCCTTCACTGGCTGACCTCCAGGTCTTCCAAGCAGCAAGCCGGGCTGCGGCCGCTGCCCCCGAGCATTCCAGGCGCGTGTCCCCCGTGGCGGGGACCCAGGGCCACTATGGGCATCCATCGAGGTACGCGCGCTGGCCGTGGCTTCGGCCATCAGCAGAGCAAGCCATTCCTGCTTGTCGCGTGCAGCTGTTGGCCTGAGATGGGTCGTGAGCGGGGGTAGGGTTAAGTCGGGCCTGTCCCTCTACAGGGGGAAGATTCAAAAATATTAAAAACATAGTCTGGGGACTTTTTTGTTCTCCAGTCTTTTTGGGCATCTTTTGGGCATGTGTGGGGTATTTTTGATTTCTCGCCCAGAATCCCCCTGTGGGGGGACAGGCCCGACTGAAGGGTAGGGCTCGCCTGGGGCAGGGCTCACGTGGGTCGGCCACGCGCAGAGAGGGGTAGGGGGAGGGGGAAAGGCTTCTTAGAAGAAGGCTGCTTCTTAGAGGGCGCGGGCCTTGTCTGTAAATGTAAGGCCCGCGCCTTCTAAGAAGCAGCCTCCTTCTAAGAAGCCTTCCCCCCTCCCCCCACCCCTCTCTGCGCGCCGCCACGTGGGGCTGCCGGAGAGAACCCAAAGGCCTGCTGAAGTCACGTCCTGCCTATAGCCTTAAGTCGGGCCTGGCCCTCTACAGGGGGAATATTCAAACACAGTAAAACAATAGTCTGGGGACTATTGTTTGAATTATGTTGTTGCCATTTTCGAGTATTTTAGGGGCATTTATTATTTTTCGTCGAAAATCCCTTTGTAGGGGGACACGCCCGACTTAAACCTAACCGTTCCTGAATGTCGTCAAGCAGATCGTGTATCTTCCCGGTTGGATCCCGGATGCCCTCGTTGTTGTTTCTCTTTGCAGTTCTAGTCTGCCGAGTGTGCCGTATGCTTCGGGTGCTGGTCGACGTGAGCACTGGCAGGATGCTCTTGTTTCGGCGTCTGGATGGGCGGGGTCTTGGTTACCTGGATCTTCGCGCGTCTCCTGTCCGCCACCAGTTGGGAATATGCGCGGCTTCGGCTTAGGATTGCCGTCGCCGACTCAGGTTCTCTATGGTCATTCTGCTGAATTGCACGACCCAGTCCAGTTATGCACATGCTGTGCGTTGCATGCAGGGACTGTTGCAACTTATCACATCAAGGGGTCGCGCGCGTGCTCTGATGTCCGCCTGGTCCATGCCTAGGAAAACTGATGAGATACTGCGGGTTGTCGATAAGAGTCTTGGAGCATCGCTCCTTCGTAGATGCTTATGTGGTACGTCATGTGCCAGCTCTCTGTGTGCTGTGCGATCTATGGTGAGCCAGAGGTGAAGCAATTGCTTGGTGTGACGCATGCGCGGTGGCAACGGCCATGAGTTGGAGCCGGGGTTGACAAGGGGCCCCAGCTGTCGGTGAGCACCGCCCGTCCAGCCATGTGTTACTACACGTGTGCTCGTGATTGGTGGACAATTGCCCTCCAAGCGTGTGCGCATCCAGCGCGTTGACAAGTGGACTGGTCATTGAGGCATGTCCCGCACGGTCGGTATAGAAAGCAGCCGCCATGGATCCGGTGAAGGCCGCCACAATACAGTTGGGCGTTTTTATTTGGATGGCGGTATAACAAAGGGGCGAGGGGGGGGGGCGATTTGGCTGTGCTACAAGAGCGTGGTGCATTGGCAGTTGCCGAGCATGCCAGAATGGTTCGGGGCACTGTCTTGCAGCGCCTCTCAGGGCTTGCCGCGTGGCCCGCACTCCGGAGGGTGCAGCTCCCGTCGAAGAAGATGACGGGACTGTCTCCGCTGGTAGGCTTGCGGAGATCGGCACCGCAGTCGCTGCTGTCTGGAGGGAAGCGCGGTGGCCCCATCTCGCGAGGGCGTTGTCAGCACCATGCGCGCAGACGGCGGCTTGTCAGCAGGCGCCCAGCTGGCCAACACGTGTAGGCAGGCTAGTGCCCAGACGGCGATGACGTTTGCCCGCGCCCCTGGGCTAGGTAAGTATTATGACGACGATGTTCGCTCTATTGCTTCGTTGCAGCCCCGCCTGCAGGCGTTGATGGGCGTCTTTGGTGAGTCGCCAGTGGGCATATCCCCGCACAGCAGCTTTTACGCGCTATGGACGCCAAGGGCTTCGAGGAGGAGGAAGAGGAGGAGGAGGAGGAGGAGGAGGAGGAGGTGGAGGAGGAGGAGAAGGAGGCGGATGAGGAGGGGAACGAGGCGGAGGGGAGGAGGAAGAGGAGGAGGAGGAGGAGGAGGAGGAGGAGGAGGAGGAGGAGGAGGAGGAGAAGGAGGGTGAGGAGGAGGAGGAGGAGCTTGGCGCCGGAAGGCCGTGCATGGCGGGCAGGGGCCCCTCTTGCCGCGCCCCCTCTCTGTGGTCCCGCCCTTCGTCCGAGTGGCGTCGTGCGTCGTCCCACGTGCACCCTGCAGTGGATGCTCGTTTGGGGGCCCTTCCTGGGGCCCACAGTGGATCTTCAGAGCCCCGAATCTTCAGGGGTAACTCGGGTCAGGGTTAACTCGGGTTCGTTTTTCGGGAGGCCGAACCCGAGTTACCCCGGACCCGAGTTACCCCGGACAATTCGGGCGTCCAGAGCCCCACAACATCAGGGGTAACTCGGGTCAGGGCTAACTCGGGTTCCTTTTTCGGGAATCCAAACCCGAGTTACCCCAGACCCGAGTTACCCCAGATAACTCGGGCGCCCAAGATCTGCTCGACTCCAGTTCGGCTCCAGGTCGACTCCAGTTCGTTTTTAGGTTCCACTCAGTTCCGGCTCGGCTTCGACTCGGGTTCGAACCAGGTTCGGCGCAGGTTCGATCCGAGTCGACGGACGTTCGACGCAGCTACGGCGCAAGAGTGGAGCGGGTGGCTCCGGGAGGGTCCCCGGAGTGAGCATCTGACTTGCAGCGCGTGTCTCTGTGCTGGGCGCCCAGGGCGCCACGGGACATGCCGCGCTGCCGTCGCCTGCCCGGCAGCCCCCGCCCGTGTGGAGTGTCGCCCCGGGCGTGTGGCGGACGCCGTGGCGCGATGTAGGTTGAGGAGCGTGCGCGTGCACAGCTTCGCCCACCTGTGCATGCGCACGTGCGCGTATTGAGTATGGTCGCTGCTCTGGACATGCGGATGTCAACCCCTCTGGTGTCCTGAGCGGACACGTGCGCCCTTCTCCTGGCGCATCGGGCGGTTGTGCTGCTTGCAGGTCTGTCTGCGGCCAGCAGCTCGATCGCGCCGAGCACTCGATGCGCGTTTCCTGTGAGCCAGTTTTAAGGTCGCGCCTTTGGATGCCGTCGCATCGCCCCTCACTCCCTCGCGCTGCCTCCCCAACAATAATGAACATTCGGATGCCCCTCCTGTTGTCTCCCGCTATGGTGTTGGTCTTCCTCCTCCTCGTCATTGCCCTGCTGGTTCTCTGCCTCATCTTCCGTGTTCCTCCTCCTCCTCCTCCTCCTCTTCATCCTCTTTCCGTCTCCTTTATCGCCATGGCCATTGTAAGTTTTTCCCTCCTCCGCCTCACCACGGGGGCCGCGACGCTAGGAAAAGGAGGACAATGAGACTGACTTGGTGAGGAGAGAGGACGAGGGACGAGGAGGAGTACGGGAGGAGGGGCGAGGAGGGTCGAGGAGGGACGACTTGGGGATGAGTGGCGAGAAGGAGGAGGGACAAGGAGGACAACGAGGACCCCACGTCGTGCACTGGGGCAACAGTCGTACCGTGAGGACGCTGCAGAGGAGGACGGGGTGAGGAATAGATCCGACGCGCGCAAGGAAGCGACGAAGATGGGCGGCGTCGCGGCCCTGGAGCACGCGGGCGCCGGGCTGAGGAGAGACCCTGACTTGCTCTCCGAGGCCGAGTGGGGAGCAGGGGGAGGAGGAGAAGGAGCCTTGAATTAGAGGCACGCTCAGGAGCATACACAGGAGAAGCAGTGGTTGTGTGGTAGTCGGGGGGGAACGACACGCGATGCGGAGTAGTATGGGGATTATGCCCAGGTTGTCGTTTTGACATCACGTTTCTTTAGATGTTCTGTCCAGGCCTTCCTCTCAGGCTTGCGGAGGATTCGATCACAGCGGGAACCCACAGGTACCTTTGCCGAATGTGTGTGTGTGTGTGTGTGTGTTTCCGGGCAGGTCACACGTTGGCGTTGCAGCGCGTCTGTTCGGAGTGCGATGCCGATGATGCACCAGGTTTGCGAATAGCCTTCGGGCGCGACGCCAGTCGCACGCACTGGACACGCTGTGTTAGTGTTGGGGACTCGAGAGCGGGCTCCGCAGACGAGCCGACCCGATCCAACCCAGCCCCATCTGGTGCAAGCCAACCGCGTCAGTCCAGCCTGATCGAGTCCTTCACAGCCCAATCCACGCACACCTCACCCCAATCCAGCCCAAGCCAGGCAGGAGCCGCCTCGATTCCGATCCGACCCCATGCCGTTCCTCATCATGTGTGTCGTTTGCCTCCTGCTCCTGCTGCTCGCTCGTGCTCTTCACCCCCCCCCTGTTTCTCCTGTTTTACCTTACCCCGTCCGCCCCACGCCTGCTGCCCTGTCTCGTCCCCCCTTCTCCCATCCCGTTCCCCTCCCCTCCCATCTCTCCCCCACTCACCTCTCCGCCTCCCTAATCCTCCCTCTCACCCATCTCCCCGTCCTCGTTTTCGCTCCTTCCGTCCCCCGCTTTCTCCCCCGGCGCTCACCTCTGTTGCTGCTGCCGTGCCTCCTCGTCACCGCTGGAGCCGTCGTCCTCCTACAGCTCCTCCTCCTCCTCCTCCTTCTTCTCTTCCTCCTCCTACTCCAGCGTGTCCTCCAGCTTGTCGTCGTCGTCGTCGTCGTCCTTCTCCTGCTCCTCCTCCTCGAGCGTGTCCTCCAGAGCGTAGTCGTCGTCCTCCTCCTCCTCCTCCTCCTCCTCCTCCTCCTCCTCATCCTCCAGCTCCTCCTCCAGCTCCTCCTCCAGCTCCTCCTCCAGCTCTCCTTCCAGCTCGTCCTCCTGCTCGCCTCCACCCAGCGACGCGAGTGTCGCGCGCGATTCCGTCGTGCTGTCGCCCTCCGCCGCCGTGCCGCTCTGGCCGGCGCGAGGCAGCCTCGGGCTCGGCCCGTTTGCCGGGCCGATCGATCGCCTCCCGCCCTCCCCTCGAGGGGCACGATGCCCACGAACGAGCCGGATGCCGCGGGAGACTGTCGCCGCCAACCCCGGTCGTGGTCCACGCGGGCCGTCGCGGGTCCGCGAGGGCGACCCCCCAGGTGATGATATTGCCGAGGTGCACGGATCACCGAAAGATCGGCACCGGCGTGGTTGCGCTCGGTCTCGGCCACGGTCGTCGCCTCCTTCCCCTCCGTCGCCCGTCCTCCGTCCGTCCCCCCCCGGCCTGCCCCGCCGTGTCCTCTCGCCTGCGGGGCTCGCCTCCCCCGGGGGCCGCCCCCGGGCCCCCTCTCAGCCAGGAAGTCGCTGCCAGAGGCCATGTCAAACAGTTGCGAAGCGTCCTGGCTCGCCTATAGCCCCACCAAACGATGATCTAAGAACCTTTTGTGGTTTCTACGAACTGTTCTCAGAACATGTCTGGTTGATATTGTTTTGTTTCGACACATCGGGTTTATGTTCTAAGAATATTGTTTTTATTATTAGGACATTTCTGGGTTCTAAGAACATTTCGTGGTAGGAGTATAGGAATGCCGGGACGGTCGGTCCCTGCTCAAAGAGGCCATGGCGGGGGGGGCGTTGGTTCAGGAAGGTGCCCAGGAGGCTCTGGACCCTGGGTTCCTTGTCCCCTGGCTCCGTATCCAATGCCCTCACCGGGCGGCTGCGCGCGGGGGCCGTGGGCCCCACCAGGAGGACGAGCACAGCCTGCGCTGAGGTGGTCGCTCCGGGGGGTCCCGCCCGCGCCGTGCCATGACGAATGCAAACATGGGCGCTTGCGCCCGCGAGGTCCAAACAATGCCCTCACCGTACTATTGAAGCCACTCGCTTCAGGTTTCCTCTCGCAGCTCGGGGAGGCTCTGGGCCCGACAGCCTTCTGCTATATGTTTCCGTTCGCTTTACGTCTGTTCCCTCTCGCTTGAAGCCGCTCGCTGTGTGTGTTCCTCTCGCAGCTCGGGGAGGCTCTGGGCCCCGACAGCCTTCTGCCCTGCGCCCGGGTCCGCCTGCTCACCCGCAGGCGCTGGACGCCTCGGCGCGCGCGTGCACGGCCAGGGCCTGGCAGGGCGCGGCGGGCCCGAACTGGGGCCAGCTCATCAAGGAGCCCTCGGGCCACGACTCCTTCCCCCTCCTCCTCCTGCTGCTCCTCCTCCTCTCCTCCTCCTCCTCCTCCTCCTCCTCCTCCTCTCTTCCTCCTCCTCCCCCTCCCCCTCCACCTCCCCCTCCCCCTCCTCCTCCTCCCCCTCCTGCCTCCTCCTCCTCCTCCTCCTCCTCCTCCTCCTCCTCTCCTCCTCCTCCTCCTCCTCCTCCTCCTCCTCCTCCTCCTCCCCTCCCCTCCTCCTCCTCCTCCTCCTCCTCCTCCTCCTCCTCCTCCTCCTCCTCCTCCTCCTCCTCCTCCTCCTCCTCCTCCCCCTCCCCTCCTGCTCCTCCTCCTCCTCCTCCTCCCTCCTCCTCCTCCTCCTCCTCCTCCTCCTCCTCCTGACGGCGCCTCCGGCGCAGCCCCTGTCGCTCTCCGGGGGCTTTCGCCGTGCCCAAGGGCCGTCGAGAAACGGCCCCGGATGAAAACACTGGCCCTGTGGAAAGGGTCGGGACTTCTGTCGGGGGCGGCAAAGAGAGGGGTGATGGCTAGCGGGGGTGGATTTCATGGCGGGGGCCATGATATCTCCCCAGATTTCGTGGCGCCTCTTCTCATTTCAATGCGTCCCTGCCCCCCCTGGGCCGCGCACATGCTGCCAGCCATGATTTGCGCCGTCCCCCTCTTGGACACCCCCCTCTTGGCCGCCTCCGATTCTGGGCACACCTATAGCTGTAGTCGAGGAGCAAAACATTGCACAGCGATACGTTTGTAGAGCTCCGCGCGGACTCCTTGGAACGGGGGCCGGGCCCCCTGGCTGGGCCTCCGCCGCAGCCCCTGACGCGCTCCAAGGCGCCATGGATGGGGTGCCGCGCCGATCCAAGCAATCGTGCGGACCTCCGAGGGTATAGGCTTATGCAGTGTTCCATGCCGCAGTGCAGGCTACAACCATCGGACGTTGATACTTAGAACCCGCGCTCCCTGCCACTCCCATCGACTCCATTTAGGAGGGGAAAAACACAGACACAATGAATCGGGGATTCCCCAGAAGAAAGTATGGGAAAATATGTGAAATGGGGGGGAAGACAGAACCCCCGAAAAAATGGTAGAATATGGGGAATCCTTCTATATTTGTGTGTATTTGCTTGTGTGTCCTTGGGCCCCTTGATCCACGTCGGGCCCGCAGGGGTCCCCCGACCACCGAACACGATGCGAGCTTGTGTTTGGAGGAGGAGGAGTCGGACGAGGAGGAGGAGGAGGAGGAGGAGGAGGAGGAGGAGGAGCAGGAGGAGGAGGAGGAGGAGGAGGAGGAGGAGAAGGCTCCTCGTCCGCGTCCTGCGCGCCTTGTGTGTTTGGGGCCTCCCGCGGCCCCCCGGAGGGCGCGCACCAGAGGTCACTCTTACCACGGGAGGGAGGATTATGTCGGGCCTGTCCCCCTACAGGGGGATTTTTTCGACGAGTAAACAATACCCCCAAAATATGTCAAAAAGGTCAACAAATATTCAAAAAATTGTCCCCAGGCTATTTTTGGGATTACTTGTTGATTAGTTGTGGATTATGTTTTATTTTTCGTCGGTACTCCCCGTGTAGGGGGACAGGCCCGACCTAAATGGAGGAGAAGCGACAGCAACACAACCCGGGGGCCCACCTCCTGCAAGGAGCTCCACGATGCCTCCCCGATCTGGAAAAAAAAACGGGACGTCTCGAGCGAGGGGGGGACCACACCACCAGGAAGACCCCCCTCGCTCCTCGCATCTCCACGCCCTGGTGGTGTTGGTGTCGCCTTTCTTGTGCGTGTTCTACAGAACCATGGCACTGATGCGGCGAGCGACAATTTCTGTTCTGGTGGGTCATCTTTCACACCTGGTCGGTGGGAACTTCTGGGTCACAGCTTCTGCGGCGGCACGAACCTTCGGCGCCAGTTCCAGCTGCAGCACTTCCCAGTCGGAACTCAGGCGCCACACCCAGCGGGCCTCCAGTTTGGACGTGGCCTCCCTCTTGGGTGGCGACCACGGCCAGCTGGAGCAAGTCCAGCTGTAGCCAAGGCGCTGCACCCGTTGGGCCTCCGGCTGGACTTGGCCTCCCCTTGGGCCTCCGGCTGGTCCAGCTGGAGCAGGCCCAGTTGGGGCCCCAGGCGCACCGCCCGGTGGGCCTCCGGCTGGACGCGGCCTCTCTCGTGGGCGGCGGCAAGTCCAGCTTGAGCAGGTCCAGTTATAGAGTCGGGGCGCTCCGCCGGTCGGGCCTGCACTTGGACGTGGCCTCGCTGGGGGCGGCGCCACGTCCAGCTGGAGCAGGTCCAGCTGGGGCCGAGGCCCTCGAGCCGCTGGGCCTCCAGCTGGACGTGGCCTCCCTTTTCAGTGGCGCCAGGTCCGGTCGGAGGCAGCCCAGTTGGAGGCAGGGCTCTCTATTCGAGTGTTGCTAGAAGTGCCCCTGGCCCATGGTGCATGGTGCCCCTTGGATCTCCGAGGAGGCCCCCACGGCCTCCAGAGCACCCCTCACGAGGCCCAATGGGCTACAGGGCTCCAAAATTCAGCGAAAAGCTGGGGGCACCGTGGCCAGGGGCATCTCTGGCAACCCCCGATCTGTCTGCTGGCACTTCAGCTGAACTTCGCCTTCGCCTCGCCTGGTCGCCCAGGCATCCGACGCTGGGATTTTGTCTCGACGTCCCTCCCGTGACGTGTGCGCTTCTACCAGGGGGCCAATCTTGAGTGTTTTGCCGACGGCTATATTGCACGCTGGAAAATTTGCCTTATCGGTTGCCCCGACTAATTCGCCCCACGCTGGTGCGGATTGCCTTTGCCTCGCCGCCGACGAAAAAAATAGCCCGGCGAAGGACCCAACCATATGCAGTTGTGAATACCGCAATTGTGCGTATCATCATCGCGAGAGGCTGAGAACGGGTGAGCCTGAGCGCGATGGAGTCTGATTGTGGATGAGTCTGCGCGCGGGTGAGTCGACGTGCATCAATGTCGACGAGGATCGCGCCCGCTTCCTTCCCTTTCTTTCTCTGCCTCTTTGCCCGTGCGCGCCGATGTCCATGGCTGCGGGCGCGGCGCCGCGCGGAGTCCACGCGACGCACGCCGATCGCCCCGACGGGGTCCCGGCGACGCGCGCGGGTCGTCCGTTGCGCGGAGCATGGAGAGCGAGCAGGCTGGCTGATAGCGGGCGAGGCTGTGGCCGCTGGGCAGAGAGACGACGGGGGCGAGCGAGGCTCTGGGCAGAGCGCAGCACGGAGTTCCCGCGACGCGCGCTGGTCGCCCCAAGAAGGCCCCAGCGACGCGCGCAGGTCGCCCGCGGCGCGAGGCCAAACAGTCAGGGTGTCGAGAGACGGCGAGGCTCGGGCGGGCCGCTCTTCAGGTCAAGCCTCGCGGATAAACTCGGTGAAACAGGCTCCCTGGCGAGGGCCGTCGCCTCCCTTCTGCACCGCTTCGTGCGCGCAGCAAGCTGCTCCAGCTGCTTCCGCAAGCCCTCCTGCGGCCCTGCCAGGAAGAATTTGATGCGCGGCGCCCGCATGAGCAGGAGGTCTTCGTGGCGCGTGGCGCGCGAGATCAGGACGTAGAGCTCCAGCCACCAGTCGTCGTCCTCCTTCTTGCCGTTCCCCACCTCGTGGCAGCCGCAGTCCAGGATCACGCCTGGGCGATGTCGGCCGAGGGAGCAGCGCGCCGGCAGCCGACGGCCCAGGGCGGAAGTCCACAGGCCGAGAGGTCTGGCTGCGGACTGCTCGCGCCTGACAGGTTCGGCCGTAAACTGCCCCAGAGCGCTGTTCCCTCGCCCCGTCGCCTTCGCGCATGGTGCGCCCCTGGCACGCCACCGTGGTGATGACCCTGCCGTGCGAGAAGGGGAAGCCCGTTCGGGTGGCCTTGGAGGTGCGGAAGGTGAACGACTCCGACGTGCGAGTCTCGATGAACACCAGCGGGCCAGTGAGGTCCCCCGTGAGGCTGTCGTCGTGGCGTTGGAGGTCGTCCACGAAGGGCGCGTTGGCGTACTTCTCCATGTGCACCCAGAACCCCAGCGGCAAGCGCTTCAGATAGATCCTCTTCTCCCCGTCTCTCTCGGCCTTGTCGACGTCGTCCCGATCTCTAGGGTCCACGGCGATGTGCACGATCTGCCCCTCGGCATCCTTGACGAGACCGCTCTTGAGGTCCAGCGCCTCCAGGAGCCGGATGTACATGCCCACGTGCACCAGGAGCAGTCCCTGCATGCCACCGGTGTTCTTCGGGTTGGCACAGTTCATCATCTTGGCGGCGTCCTTCCTGCTCATCGTCGGGGCAGACCTGTCGGCGGCCTGCACGAGGAAGAGTGACTTCTTCAGGACGTCCGCGTCCCGCTGGGCACGCATGTTCATCCAGCGCGCCACGGTGTCCCAGTAGGACCCAATCGCATGGTCGTTCTGGAACGTTTCCTCCCGGAGTCTACGATCATCGCCCCATGATGATCGTAGACTCTACGATCGCCGTGGGGCGATGATAAGTCTACGATCATCTAAATCTAAGATATGTGCCAAAATGGGGCGTCGCCGCCACGCGGGCTGCGCCACTGGGACGCCAGGTGAAGCTCCCTGTGGGGCCACGAAACGTGTGAGGGGTGTACCAAAATATGGCGAGGCCGCCATGCGGGCTGCACCACTGGGACCTTCGCTGGAGCCCCCTTTGGGGCCACTAAACCTGTGAGAGGTGCGCAACAATGGGGCGAGGCCGCCATGCGGGCTGCGCCATTGGGACCTTAGGTGGAACCCCCCGTATGGGGCCACGCCGTTGGGACCTTAGGTGGAACCCCTGTATGGGGCCACGAAACGTGTGAGGGGTGTGCCAAAATGGGGCGAGGCCGCCATGCGGGCTGCGCCACTGGGACCTTAGGTGGAGCCCTCTTTGGGGCCACGAAGCGTGTGAGGGGTGTGCCAAAAGTGGGCGAGGCCGCCATGCGGGCTGCACCGTTGGGACCTTAGTTGGAGCTCCTGATGGGACCCACGAAATTTTGTGCTGGGTGTGCCGAAACAGACACATGCGGAGAGCAAAGGCAAGGAGGGGGAGGAGGGAGGGGAGGGAGGGGAGGGAGGAGGAAGGAAGGAAGAGGAGAACGCGGGGCGCTGTCTTTTCAAAACGAAGACCCAACACCACAGGATGGTTGGGAAATAATCGACGGTCTTGGGATCAAGCCAAAACCTCCGAGTGTTGAAAATCGCCGCAGGTTTGCGCCGCGTCGACGCGACCGCGACTTCGCCGCGGGCGTTCCTGATTGATCGCCGCCAGCGGCCCAGCATCGGCCAATATGGAACGATTTGGCGATCGAGAAGCCGCCGATCGTTCAATGTTGAACGATCCTCGCGGTGTCAGGAACCAGCGCCAGGATCGTCACAACACAAATTTGCCGCACCAGAGGTCATACGTCGTGGTGTCTCCCTTCCTAGACCCCCCACGTCATGGTTTTTCGCAGCGTCGACGCCCAAAGGTCTCGAACCATTGCTAGGGATTGGTTTCTCGTCTGGAGACGGCCCGTCACGGTCCGAAGGCCTGGGGTAGGGCCTCTAGTGGCAGATTTTGGCGAAGAATACCCCGCCATGTTTTTTCGTGTGACCCGAACAGGTCTGGCCACGTCGTGGTTCCTCCTGTGACCCGCGCGGTGCGTCAGTCATCGCACGGCTGTGGGGCGGTGGAGGCCTCACAGCACGACGCTTTACCGCGCGGTCCGTCCCCGCACGGCCCAGCAGTCACCGCACGGTTTTGGGGCCGTGGAGGCCCCCGTTGCCCGGAACGTCTTCCGAGGACGACCCAAGTCCCAAATCCCTGCGGCCATCCTGGATCCCCACGGAAGCACCACGCTCGGCGGCGAGAGAGGGGGGGGTGGAAATGAGAAGGAGAAGACCTTCTCAGAAGGCGGCGGGGCTTCTCAGAAGCCCTCCGAACTTGTGAGGAGTTCCCCGCATCTTCGGGGGATGCGCAGAAGAACCTCTATCACGAGGCCGGGGGATTTCGGAGCCTTCTAAGAAGGCCCGCCCCTTCTCACTTCCACCCCGGGCTCGCCGCCGAGCGAGGATGTCAGGGCGCCCGCAGCCGACGAGTGGTGAGCGCGCGGGCGCCGATCGATGCGAGCGCTGAGGATCGAACGGGGCCAGGACGAGGACAAATCCGTTCCAGGGCGTTGCGGAACGCCCTCCGAGCGTTCCGGAACGCGACGCGCCGAGCAGGCCGCGGCGCCTGAGCCGCCGGATCTCCCTCTCCCCCTCCCCATCCTCCTCCTCCTCCTCCTCCTCCTCCTCCTCCTCCTCCTCCTCCTCCTCCTCCTCCCCCTCCCCCTCCTCCTCCCCCTCCTCCTCCTCCTTCTCCTCCCCCTCCTCATCCCCCTCCTCCCCCTCCTCCTCCCCCTCCTCCTCCTCCTCCTCCTCCTCCTCCTCCTCCTCCTCCTCCTCCTCCTCCTCTCTCCTCCTCCTCCTCCTCCTCCTCCTCCTCCTCCTCCTCCCTCTCCTCCTCCTCCTCCTCCTCCTCCTCCCTCCTACTCCTCCTCCTCCTCCTCCTCCTCCTCCTCCTCCTCCTCCCCCTCCTCGCCCCGGCTCCGCCTTCGAGCGCGCCCCGCGCCGAGGCGCGCGCGCGGGCGCCGATTCCGCGCGCGCCGCCGAGGAGGCCGGGGGCCTCGCCGGGCTGCGGTGCGGCGGCCACGTCGGCGAGGTCGCCGGCGAGAGGCGGGCGCGCGGGGGCGCGGGGGGGTTGCGGGCCTTTCGGCCCTCGCGGGGGAGGGCGCGGGGCCCTCGGCCCCCTCGGCCTCGCGGGGGCGACGACGACGGCGACGACGACGATGGCGACGCCGACGCCGACGGCGACGACGCCGACGGCGGCGACGACGACGACGACGACGACGACGACGGCGGCGGCGACGACGAGGCGGGCCCAGGGCGCGCGGGGGGGGGGGGGCGAGGAGTAGAACAGTAGAACCGAAGGAAACGCGAGGAGGTCGAGCAGGAGACGGAAAGGGAGGCGGTGGGGTGGACGAGGCTGCGACCGAGGGGGATGAGCAGGAGGACGATGAAGAGCAGACGCATCAGAAGGTGAGTACGCGACGACGGCAGCGGATGAACAGCAGACCCAGTAGGAATCGAGGTGGTGGCGGAGGAGGACAAGGAGGAGGCGGAATGAGGTAATTGCGGTGGGTAGGCGCAGGGAACACGGCGGGGACCGCAGAGGGAGAAGCAGGGACAACTCCATTTCTTCCTCATCCTGGGCTCCTCCTCATCTGCTGCTCGCCCCTCCCTGATGATCCTCATGTTGATCGTTCTGGTCATCCTGATCATGATCCTCGTGGTCCGATGCCTCCTCCTCCTCCTCCTTCTCCTCCTCCTCCTCCTCCTCCTCCCGATCCCGTGAGCGGCCACGGCCGCCCCGCGCAGGCTGCAGTGGGTCCGGCCCCTCGCAGGGACGACTCGCGCGTCGTTCGTTCTGTCGCTCCTTCCTCCTCCTCCTCCTCCTCCTCCTCCTCCTCCTCCTCCTCTCCCCTCTCCTCCTCCTCCTCCTCCTCCTCCTCCTCCTCCTCCTCCTCCTCCTCCTCCTCCCCCTCCTCCTCCACCTCCTCCCTCCTCCTCCTCCTCCTCCTCCTCCTCCTCCTCCTCCTCCTCCTCCTCCTCCCCTCCCACTGTCCAGCCGCGCAGTAAGGACCGGCAACCTTCCCAATGGCATTCCTGCATCCTTGCCTCCTCGGTCCATCCTTGGCCTCTTTCCTCGGCCGCGCCCCGCTCGCAGAGCTCCGAGACGGTCCTCCAGGGCCCTTTGCATCCTTACCGCGCAGCATTCATCCTTACCGCGCAGCCTTGTGAGACGGGTTGACTGCACCCCCCATCCCCCATCTCCCTTCCCGTCCCTCCGCTCTCGCCTTCCCCCGCCCCCTCGCCTTCCGCCTCGCCCCCCCGCCCGCCTGTCGCCACGCCTGCTCCCTCCCTGCCCCTCGAGAGGGGGGCTCGGGCCTCGAGGAGCAGCGAGGAGGAGCGAGGAGCGAGGCACCGAGGACCCACCTCTGACCCACCCGCCTCCGCCCTCGCCCTGCTTCAAGGGAGGAAAAACCACCCGTACCCGACAATTGCCTTTACTAAACGGCCCTGGGCGTTTACGAAACAGCCTTGTCCTGTTCGATTCCTTCTTTGGGCGCGTTTACTAGACGACTTCGCGTGTCGGGGTGGTTATTGTGGGGGTGGATTGTTTGACCTCTGCTGCTCGCCCTCGCGAAGCCTCCCCTCCTCGCCTCGACGGGCCCACGGGGAGGCGCGCGCGGCAGCGCGGACGCACCGGCGGCGGAGCGCGCTCGATCGCGCGGCCGGGCAGCGCGCGCGCAGCAGTTTTGGCCCAGGGAGGCGAAAAGTCGGCCCTCCGGCGGCGCGGGCCCACCCCCCCCCTCTCTCAGCGGCACCGCAACGGGCACTCGCTGACGGGCACTTTGGAGACTTGCCGATAGTTGCCACTCTAGGGTTATGATGCTCCAACCTGCTGTAGCCTTGACTGCCAGAAATAATCTCGTGCGCAACAAAAAAACGAAACTCAAGGGTTTTCACGTGTCGGGCCCTGGGAGACACTCGCCCGACACTGTTTTGACACTGTTTCGACACTCTTTTGAAACTTTTCCGGGTGCTCCAGGTCTGCACGAACGAAATGGGTACGGAAAGAATGACAGCAGTTCCTGTTCATTGTGAACAGGACTCGCTGTCCACGCCGCCGCGGCCCGTGTCCACTCGAGGCAGAAGGCCGCCTGCCCAACAGCGGCCGCTGTTGGTTTGGGACAACCATTGTTGTCGGGCGTTGTGCCCATTCTTCCCGTACCCACTTCGGGCGTCCAAGCCAGGGCCCTTTTTCCTGGCATTGCAGCGTTGCCCACACCTGGGAGGGTTAGGCTCGCAGGGTCACTGGCCAAAGTGCCCGTGAGTGGAGTCCCCGTTGGAGGGGCGCTGGCCCCCCCCCCTGGAGCGGAGGCCCTCGTGGCTCCCACGGGGCCTCGGGCCCGCCTCGCCCCCGCCGCGTCGAAGGCCGCCCAGGCGTGGGGCCAGGAACAATCAGAAACGAGCACAAGTAGAAATGAGCACGATTAGAAATGAACGACGTGTGGATGGGGTCGGAGGATCGCGCCGCATCGCCGATGCATCGCCGACGCCGCTCGAGGTGGAGCGCCCGAATTTTCCCCACGTCGACGTCGCGGATGCGTCGCCGACATCGCCGATGTCTTTGCGATGTGGCGCGATCCTCCGACCCCACCTGCTCGGACCTCTTCTGGGAGGCGTTTGCCCTCGTCGAATGCCACCCAATCTTGAACCCGGTTCTCTCGGCGCTGCGCAACAGGAAGAGCCTCCGAAGGAGGCGCGCGGACCAGACCCATGCTGCCTGCCACCGCCGCGCCCGAGCGGCAGCATCGATCGAGCGAGTGAGCCCGCCAGCACGGCTGTCAGGACAGCAGCGCGTGCAGTGCACTGATCCAGCGACGGGCTGCCAGAAACATTGCACTTCATTTCTTCCAGTCGAGCAGAAAAGAACACACAGCCAACTGCGACGAAGGCAAATTTTAGAGATGAAGGCCGGCTCTCGTCGCGCGTTCATTCCCCTCAGCTTTCCTCCTTCTCCTCCCAAAATAGCGCCAACAAAAAAAAAGCGCCAACGGCGACGATGTGGGCGATGCGAGGTGGGATCTCCCCTCCCTCGCGGCCGAGGAAGGCCCTAGAGGCGCCGCGCGGACGAGGCAGGCCCTTGGGGCACCCGTGGTCAGGGCGCTCACTTCGAGCACGCCGCCGGTGCCGACGAGTGACGTTGAGCGACATCGATGCCCCCGAGACGCAGAGTCCAGAGTCTAGTCCTTCGGCGCCCGGACAAAAAGTGTCCACACCCAGGGCGGCAAGACAGTGCGACGTGATAACAACCGCAACAGCATGATGCACTTGCCTCGCACCCCTCCCCCCCAACACCCAAAGTTGAAGTGTCCACATTTTGTCCCTTGCGCGCGGCCTGCCGCCTAACCCCGCCAACTTTGATTTGGGGGAAAGGGGGGTATACATCTTCGTTCGACGTGATTTGACGACGAGTTGTCTTGGCGCGACGAGTGTGGACACTTTTTGTCCGCCCACCGTTCTGCCCTATGCAATGCTGCGAGAGCGGGGGCTGTAGTCTAAAGTGTTGCGCGAGCGGGCTGTTGACTGATCGCGTTCCGGCGCCGCGCTTCCCCGTCTGCTTGCGGGCCTCGTTGGCAGGCTGAGCACGCACCCTGCGGGCACAGCTGGTCATAGGCGGTGGCGGTGCGGGGGGCTCTACGCCAGCGGCGGGCACAGGCTTACTATACACCGTCTTTCCTTCTCTTGCACAGGCTGGCATTGCCCCGCAGTCGAGCTGTCGATTCTCCTCCCCCCTCCCACAAAGTAGGCACGCGCCGCATCCACCTCCAGAAGGGCTCCCGAAGCTGAGCCTTGTCGCCCAGGAGAAGCCTGGGGTAGTAGGACAGGCTTGGGCCGCAGGATCCCGCAGAATCCTGCATAACCCCACCTCACAGAAAGGGGCCCCCACCTCCGCCTGGCCCCCCCCCCCCTCCTCCCTCCTTGGGGCTGGGCCGGAGAGTCCCGACACCCGATTGTCGAAGGGGTTTCGCAACACGACTGCTCAAACAGTATACCTCACCCCCCTCTGGCCCCTCGTTCTGCGGGGTTGGGGGGCGTGGGCGGGGAGGGAGGGAGTCTTTGTTGCTCCCCCCAGCTTCCGAGTAGGGCATCGACTGCGGAATTCATTGTCCCCGAAGTTGACTGCCCGTCGAATCCATGAACAAATGCATTTAGTGTTGCGTAGATCTACGGGACAGTCCACGTACTGTTGTAGATTCGACCAGGAAATCACATTTGGGGTAAACCAATGGTGTAGTCGATCCCATGCTCGAAGTTTCGCCACGCAAAACAAAATCCTGAGGGAATCTGGCCCCGAGGTTTTTCCCTGGTTTGGCTTCCTTGCCCCCCCCCCACGGGCCCCGAGACTGTCAAACACAGCTGCTCAGGATGAAACGCCCAGCCCCAGGGGCAACGCCCCAGGGGGCCTTGGGCTCTTGATTGCGGAACAGATGACGACACACATCGCGGGCGATTGCTTTCCCCCTCGGAGGAGGAAAAACTATCCATGCTGCAACCCTTCCCTCCCTTTTGAGCCTCCTGGGAGGCCCTCGTCGTCACCGCTGGATTCGCCTCGAAATTCTAATCAGAACGCGTCCGGGGAGATGGCCGGGGAGTTGCGGTGTCGGTACCTTTTTGTTTCCCCACCCCCAATCCCTGAGCTCCGCCCCAGAAGGTTGACACCCCAAGGGGGCTCGTCGGACGCACCCCTATCCAGGACGGCCCCCATCGTGCATCCCAGGGTTGGGCCCCACATTTCTGGTCCAGTCGAAAACGTCCCAAAGTCTGGGTCAGGGGTCGCGACAGGTGCGGACTTCGGAGGTCTGTGCGGACTTCTTGACTCGGCACCAGACCCTCCTGGTGGCGCCTCTGGCACCGCCCCTGGCTCGCCAGATCCAAGACATCCGCGCGGATTTCCGAAATATTATGCTTATCTAATATTTTGCTCCCCGAAATGAGGCGCTGGCCGGACGGGGCCAGGGCGGGGATAAATCATCAGAGCGTTCCAGAACGCTCTCAGAGCGTTCCGGAACGCTCCGAGAAGGCCGCGGCGCCCGAGACACCTTCCAGAGCCGCCAGATCGATTTAGCTTCGCTTGACTTACCCTTCGTCCTGGCTTCGTCTTGGCTGGTCGGCGCGAGCGCCTCGAACACACCAGGGGCGACGCGCTCTTGGATCCTGCGGCGGGGTGCGACGAGGGCCTCCCCGACGGCGCGCTCTGGCCGGGCATGGCGCGCGGGTTCCGCCCCGCGCTCCTGCTGCTTCTGCTGCTGCCACTGACCGTCGCCGAGGACCCTCGGGGAGGACGAAACCCAAGGAGAGCACATAGGCAATGTTTCTTTCGTCCCTCCCTCCCCTCTCCTCCCCCCTCTCCTCCCCCCCTCTCCTCCCCCCCTCCCCCCTCCCCCTGAACTTTCTCCCCTCTCCTTCCCCCCTCCCCCCTCCCCATGACGTAGCGCTCCCCCCATCCCAGTGCGTCCCCGGCACCGCCGCAGTGCGTCTGGCACCGCAGTTTGTGGCGCCAGACCCGGACGGCGGAGCGTGGGGGGGCGTTTCGGTATGCTCCCCCTCCTGGCCCCGCGCGGACTTCCAAAAGTTCAGTTGACCTGCAATCTTTGGTTTATGTCGGGCGTGTCCCCCTACAGGGGGATGTTCAACGAAAAATAACACATCTCCAAAAATACACCAAAAGGTCAGAAACTATTAAACAAACAGTCGAACATCCCCCTGTAGGGGGACGGGCCCGACTTGATGTGTGGTTCTTCTGCGACAGGGGGGGAAGCGGGATCACAACACTCTTTGCGCGCAGCTGGTCTCGCCCTGGCCGCCCGGCGCGCCGCCTCCTTGGAGATGCGTGGCCGAGCCCAGCGCCTCCCCACCCGCTGCATGTGGCTGAACCGTGGAGCTTCGCTTTGCCACCTCTTCCCCCTCCTCTGCCCCGGGCTCGCCTTCCCTGCAGGACGGACTCTCCCGAAATGCCCCGCAGACTACTCCAGATTTCGTAATGAAGGGAGGGGGGTCTCATTTCGGGGGGGGGTCTCTCCCAGGCCATCTTGGAGGGCCTGGGGGGGTCTGGGAACGATGTTTTGGAGGATTCTCCCACGGGGGAGGTCTGAAATGGCTCGTCTTGGAGGGTCCAGACCCCCTCCCTTTTATTACGAAATCTGGAGTAGCCTACTGTGGCGCATTTGGTATTGATGATTCAGATGTGTGGATCCTTCCCCCGCAGGCATCAGCCACATTCAATTCTAGACAGCACTCCGCCAGCACAAGTGAGTAGTGGGCGCGGGCGGCGCGCTTCAAGAACCTTGCACACGGCGGGTTGAACCATCCGTGAACCAGCCAGGGCGCTTCGACGAGTCCCGGCACCAGCGATTGGGGATCCTAAGGCGCTGGTGCCCCCCTGAGCTGGACAACTTCCTCTGGTAGCCTTTCTGGTAGCTGCCACGACCCGCGCACCATGTTTTCAGATGGTGAGAGCTCTGGTCTGGCCGCTCCGACAGGACTTGGTACACCGAGCCGAAGACGCTTTCGATAAACTGACGAAGTAGGCATCGATACCCATCTAGAGCCGCCAACTACCCCGAATTGAGACCTGCCGAGGCGGTGTATGCGGATTCCAAATGTGCTCATGGCAATCACGGCCACACATCTGGTTGTCGCGGAGAGCCTTCCACTTCCGCACGTGTACTGTGAGCGTGCCTCGTCACACGTGGGAGACGCGTCGCCACCGTGACTCTCACGTTTCAAAGCTGACGGTGCCAATCGAATGTTTCAGGTCCGCTACCAGGTAGAGCCCTGGCGTCTTTTCGCGGGTAGCCTTCTGGATATGTGTGAAGGTGTCGGACATCATCGTATCTCCCCGCCGCACCTCGCAACGCCCAGTTATAGTCAGCATTATGCCAACGCGCACATGCAGTATGCCACAGCATTCGTTCACTCAGTCATTGAATCCCATTCGGAGCGCACATAAACACATGTGGAATTATGCTTTACGTATATAAACACGCATGTATGCATACACACATATATATAGCTCTCTATTAATGTGTGTGTGGAAGAGAGAGAGAGAGTGGGGGGCAAGAGAAGCGCGCGCCCACACACACCTCTATACATAGCTCCCCGCACTTGCGGATAAGAGTGAGGGGACTGCAGGGTCGTGGGCAAGCCTGCGAAGCTCTGCAGAGACCCGCCGCAGTCGCCGACGGTTTGGTCAAGGCAACGTCGGTGGGCTGCGGGTGGTTGGCAAGGTGGGTCGCGGGGTGGGTCGCGCGGTGGTCGCGGGGTAGGTGCGGGGCGGGTCGCGGGCGAGGAGGACGACAGCAACAACACCAGGAACAATCATTTGAATCTTTGTCGCTCGTACCTGCCCGCCTGCCATTCCTCATGAGTATCCCGATGCTTCACCTGCCACGTGTACGGGGTGCAGCCTTTTAAACAAGGGAAGAGAGGACGGATGGAAGAGGGAGGGAGAAGAATGCAGCACGAGAGAGATTCGCAGGAGGGGGGCTAGAAGCAGAACGCACGTGGCAGAACCAGACAGGCTCCTCGGGCGGGTAGACCCTAACAGGCGTGTCCGAAAGGCGGGCCTAGGCGGCCAGGTCGAGCAGGCAGGTTGTTGAAGCGTGAATGTTGTATGAATCGCGAGGAGGCTCAAGTGATTTCGCGATCGCACGTGAATCATGAGAAATGCTACATCGAGGACGCGATTCTTGAGCGTCGAGGGCGCGGCGTCTGAGTGAATTGTGAGGACGTCCCACGCGAGAGCGCGACGCTTGGATACATTGCAAGGAGGTCCCTCGCGAGAGCGCTACTTCGCAAGACATGGGGGGACTATCGAGCGGGAGCTGTTGTTGAACTTTCATTTAGGTAAGAATAAGTTTTAGTTGATTACCCCAGTGAGTATTGAATCCGTTCTGTTAAAATGCTTATCCAGGGGCTCATCCCTTATATATATATATATATAACAAAATCTAAGGAGAACCGGTGGTCACCAAACTGCGCCCTTGGCCCCCGGTCTACAACAACAGCGGTTCCCGCTTGATATGTCCTCACAATGTATTTCGAATTCTCGCTCTCGCGGGGGATTTTCTCATAATGTATCCCTGAATCGCTTTCTCGCGTTGTACTTCCTCACGATGTACTGTTGCGCCGCGTCCCCCAAATTCACAAATTACGATTTGTGTTTCGATGTATTATCGATTTATTTGGAATCGCGTTATCGCTCGAAACTGATTTCATGATGGGATGACGCATAAGCGACAAACCCGCTCGACCTGGCCGTCTGGGCCTGCCCGCCCGACCTGCCCGTTAGGGTCCGCCCGCCCAACACGCCAGGCTTGTTTTGCCGGTTGCGCTGCTGCTCCTAACCCTCCTGCAAATTTCTCTCGTGATTCATCCTTCTTCTCCCCCTTGTCTCTTGACTTGCTCCCTCTTTCCCTTTTTTTAGGGGCTGCGCCAACTACGCGCGACAGGTAGGGAAAACAGACCCCAAAGAGGGGACACGATGGAAGACGAAGAGGACGGGCACCCAAGTTTGAGGGTACACGTGTTGAGTGGCACGCGAGCAGATAAGAGCGAGCAGTCTTACAATGATTGTTATTGTCGTTGCTGTAAATCGGTGGCCACGTGGGATGGCTGATAACCAAGATTTTCCCTTGTAAAAAAGAAGGTGCAAACCCCACGAGGAGCACTTTCAGTTAATAGCACAAGGTTCACGGGAGTGGGGATCAACAACATTTTTTTTTCGAAATGAGAATTCAACGCAACAGCTACCCGCATTGCAGAAACCCCTTCAAACACACGCCCAGGGACATGGAATGACCGGTCGGCCCCCTTTTCATCCCTTCTCTATGTTTTGTGTATATATGCATTCAAACATACGTACATACATACATACATGCAGACAAACAGACAGAGACAGACAGACAGACATACATATTTTATATACATCGATCGCTGTACGACTACAGTGAGTACTGTTTCACCCCCCCAAAGAAAAACCTGGGACGACCCCAGGCCTGGCCTTGGAGCCAGGGCCCGGAGCGCCCTACGAATGCCCAAAACGGCTCCACATGGCCCGAGGACGGCCCCGGAGGGCCCCAGGAGGCCCCAGGCCTTTGGCTGGACAGCCGCTGCGGGCGCGATGTCCAATTTCCTTTCGCCGAAGATGGGGAAGCGCAGGGCGGCCAGCCAGGGCCAGCCGGGTCGCCGCATGCTGGTGAAGGTTTTGTGATTTTGGTGGTTTGGGGGTTCTTGGGGGGAAGGCGGGGGGCGACCATGTATATGTATACATATATATATACATATATATGTATGTATGTGTATATATATACATACATACATATATATGTGTGTGTCAGTATGTTTGCATATACATATACACACATATATATATATATTCATATATATATGAATGAATGTCTGGATTCCTTTCTGTCTGTGCGTCTGTGCTTTTGTCTGTGCGTATGTCTGTCTGTGTGTAGTATGTAGGGAGGTCGGTTGTTCGGCCTGTCGGTATGTAGTTCGGTAGGTGGTTCGGTTTGTGTGTATGTATGTATGTACGTATATACACACATATAGATATGTGGATACGTGTACGTGTATACATATGTACATACATGCATGTAGCATATATATGTATATATGTGGGCCAGCGTGTACGTCAAACGGTAGGCTATTACAACCTATGCGGTGCAACCTACGTGGTGCAATTTAATGTCTGTTCGCAGTGAGTTGTCCACTCCACTGCTCGCGCACACATCCCACCCACCCACCCGCAACTTGGTTTGCAAAATCTCTTAAGACCGTGACGGTGGGTACCAAATGGCACTTGGCAACGACAGCGACGCCGACCACGACAGCGACAACGACGACGACGACGCCGCCGACAACGACTACAACGACACCAACGACGCCTCCAACGATTTCGACGACGCCGACAACAACAACAACGACGACGACGACGACACCGACGACGACGACGCCGACGACGCAGACGACGACGACGATGACAACGACAACGACGATGACAACACCGACGACGATGACAACAACGACACCGACGACGACGACGACGACGACGACGACGTCAACGACGCCGACGACGACGACGACGACGGCAGCAACGACGACGACGCCGACATCGACGACGACGAAGACGACGACGACGCCGACGACGACGATGAAGACGACGACGACGTCGCCAACGACGATGACGACGAGGAAGGAGGGAGGACGACGTTGGCGACAACGACGACAACGACGACAACGACGACAACGACGA